TACAAAATCGAGCAAAAGTTGATGCGAGATATTTTGGGGTGTTCGAACCATTTTCCCGCACTGTCCAGTTTCTGTCTCCGATACGTGTTCTGGCTGCGGGCTTGAATAAAAATAAACGTCGATTAAGTAGGCAAGATAGAGCACTAGTAATGCATGGTATTACTGATTGCAAATATAATAAGAACTGCCATGTTTGAAAAAAAAATTCGGTCATTACCTTTATAATATACATACATCATGTGTCGGCAGTACTTATTCGATGGCGAAGGTACTAAACGCAAAACAGCTCTACAAGCAGCGACAAAAGTAATAGGCGCTCTGACATAGGCATATCAAGTCGAATAGAGAAATTGTAAAATTAAAACATGCAATCGGTCACAAATCATTACAACCAAAAACTGTGTAAAGTGTAATCGGCTACCACCATATCAAGATAACGCGAGTTATAGATTGAATTAAAATTTTTAGTTAAATAAATCTCATTACATTCGCTAACGCTGCATAACACATGTGGCGTCGTCTTCGGAGCAAATATGATCTTGAAGGCTCAAATTTGAACATCTTTCGTGTTACATGCTCGTTGTTCGAGACGCTTATGCCCGCGCGTGTTCCTAGGGAGAGAGCGTAATTGACTCGGGTACGTTAGCGATGAGATACTCTGGCTGGATGTTCATGTGACGGATAAAGCTGGTGGCTAGGCACGTCCTGTAGCACACCGAGGCATCCATATCCTTGCAAACATTGCATGTGCGAGAATCGCAAATTTGTTTTACACTAGTCTATACTCAGAAGAGTTTGCTGCTTATTTAACGCACTGTATAACTTCATAGGTGGTACCAGGTCACACGCTATAGTGTACAGTGGGGGGGGGGGCAAAAAAAAAGACAGACATTTTGGCCTATTCGGGGATTCGCCTCTTTTTTCCGCTGCTCAGAATTGCATTCGTTGACCGCCAGAGTATTCCCTTAAGTGTTCCCTCTATAGTGCTTAGGCCGCAGGCTCGCTGGCTTCACTGCCTCCTCTATGGCCGGTCTTCGAGAATAGACGTCACTGGCCTGTCCCGTCGTCACGGTAACTCAGGAGGTCTACCCGTAAGATGTACGCACATTTCGTGAATGATTACATTGCGGATAGTTTTTCTAGAGCATTACTCGCCACCCAGTCATTACCCACTTTGTTGAAATCCCCTCGAACTAGCTTCCAATAAGGGTCCGTTAATGGTTAAACACTGCGAATCCTTCGAAGACCCCATTGAGATCGACCAGTGCACCATGTTTCCAGGCTTAATTCTTCTGATGCCGCACATCCGTCACTGCCACTATGAAGATTCTTATAGAATGAAATGCACTCTTTAGATAGGAAATTTGAACCCGTTCGTCTGATTCTGAGTAAAATGTGCTGAATCATCTGCATTAAAAGTGGAGCAAAATGTCTTTTTTTTGGCCCTCCTGTGCCATGCATCAGCGGATAACATCACGCCAATGATTTCATCAACCACACGGTGAGCGGCGAGCCGTTTGATTCTAGTAACTTCTCTCTCGCAAAGAGAGTGTCAATCGAAGACGCTTCATTCTAGCGACAAAAAAGAAAATTTATTGCTGCGCTATATTGTAAAGTGTTTGCGTGTTACTCTTGTAGATTACCCACAAATCAAAAGAACCATTCATCGGACATTCTTTGCATTCTCCTCCGCACTGGAATACATATTGTATCTAATTGAGAGGAAGTCGCGCTCACAATAAAGATCCATCTTTCACGCGAAATAGCAACAAACCTACAAAGCCACTCTTTATAGACTGCGAATATAGGTTGGGCTTGGGCAACGGGAACGGCGAAACGAGAAAATTATGGTCGAGGCGGATACGGCGCCAGGCACTTGCGAAAACGTGAATGGAATAGAAGCCTTCAACATGTGGCGGAGAATAGACGACAACGAGATCCGAATAGAACAGATATACGAGAAAAGAGCAATGTTCTTGGCCGTAGGTGGAAGAGGGCCAGAAAGGACTTGGTACTAGGGAAAGAGGGTTGGTTCGACAGTGGCCTCGGTTTAAATGCAGCGCTATACCGTCCTGCCATCCCTCCAGAAGCTGAATTTCCAAAATCTATTTCTCGAAATCGCTCGAACAATTCCTGTGAACGTTACACAATCTTGCTTTTTCTCCGAAAGCTTGGCCTCCACGTTGGAGCGTTATCTCGCAGGCACCAGCACAGATCTAGAGTATTTATTCAAATCCGCTACAGACTTTGCTCTTTTTCAAGGCCATCTCTATAATTCCAGAAGCCTGTCTTGCATTCTTTTCCGACGACATTTCTCCTGCTCGAATATTCTTGACTGCCCACTTGCTTTCAAGCTTCCGTCTAATCTTCACAAACGATGCGTTCTTACACCGCGCGAAAGAAATGTGGAGTGCCAGTTGTTGCCCAGACAAATAAGCCAAACTGTCCCTTGTGAACAACTTCTATCGCCAATCCAAAAGCTTGACTCATACTCCAACAGTGGGAGTGGGAGGCACAACGCATGGGTTATTGCCCTTCTAGTAGCTCCATGCCTTCGATGTATTTTACAAATACATACAAACTTTTGTTGTCAAGAGATTCTTATTTGAAAGCTCCTGTATAGTCGATAGAAGACTCCTATCAGAAAAAAAAAAAACATTTTTTGTCGCGTCCACCAGGAGCTTCTGCCTACAATGACCTTATCACTCAGGCTACAGCGTCCCAAACACTTCTTCCAATAACGGTAAAATTTATGCTAGCAATTATGGCCTACAACAAATTGTAAACTTAGGTTGCCAAGAAAGTCCTCGACAACTCTTTCTAAAGCTTCCTTTTTTTTCTGAACAATGCCGAGGTAACATTATGACAGTACCAAATGTAAGAGCATTCGCAATGAACGTGCTCAAAACTTC